GAGTGGGGTAATGGGCCAGCGGTATAAAAGACCAGCGGTGGGACAGGTAGTCCCAAAGCACGCAGGTGAACCAGACAGGTGTGTCAAACAGGTAGCAGCAGACATGGAGAGGACCGGAGAAGACTCTACCGAGGCAGAACATCTCTCCAAGACGGAGCAACATCTTGGAGACACTCCCGAAGAAACCTTGGCGAACGCCGAGAACAGAGAAGAAGGTTAGTTCCTTAAGCTACTCTCTCCTTCAGAAGTTGTTACGTTCATGAATATGCAGGCGGAGTTACAGACCTGTAAAGTCTTCAAGTATCGATCAGTACGTAGTAAACTCTGGAAGAAGCGTAGTCAGCACACTTTCTTAAGTTTGTTCCAAGGAAATTATAGAATAACAAGGAAATTGACACTGAATCGTCTTATTGTTTCTAACGTTACATACAGGTATAGATATGTGAACAAAGTCTTACGCTGTGTGTCTAAACATATGCTATATGCTTTCCCAAACTATCGCTATAGCTAAGGTATCTTACAAACTACGGTGCTTACCTATTTTTAAGTTCCTACTTATTTCATAAGGCCAGGTCTTATTTTTGTTCATCATATTATAACTTATATGTCTATATTCCTACAAAATCTTTCCAAAGTCCACTCATAGAAACAGGTAAGAATGTGGTTTTTCTGTTCGCTGTGTGCGCATCACCTGTGGTGTGTCAGGATTTTGAGGGGGGTTACGGTTGACGCAGTGTTTCCCGTGGTTCAGTGGCCGCTGACTTTCTGAACGTTAGTCTAGTACCTGGTGGTAATGAGAGTAATATCCCCACACAATGGCCATCCCGGCCGCCGCCCGCATGCCCTAATCATCAACGGTGCAGCGGCGCTGAAAAAAAACAAACATTACCGTGTACGGTTTGCTCGCAAGCGGCTAGTTCCACCTGTCCTGACCGTGAGAAACGTCATCCCGGCTCGGTGGGCAGATTCCGGCCCGTGATAGTGACGTGCTCCCTTTTATATCGCTGGCGAAAGTAGCTTTATCACGAGCCCAATGGTTTCCGGGTTAGGGCCGACTGGCGATGAAAGATAGAGTGAAGCTATATTTCTTTCGGACGTATTCGGTAAATGCGGTCCACTTTACACCATCTATCAAGGAGCAGCGGTTAAAAGCATTGCTGAGATGAGGAAGGGCGATGCCTTTGTAATGTGGTCACTTTTTTACGTGTTGCGCGCGCGAGGCCGAACGCAAAGTCTACCTACCACGCAACTCCGCAACACAAGCACACACTGTGACCTATCCTTAGCTTCTCCGCTTTCTTTCAAGGCATCCAGTGCGATTTCATAGCGGCAAAACAGAAAATATTCTGGATGAGAAAATCTGTCTGACATTCACTACCACTCTATAGCACATTTTTGTCATACTTAAAGCGTTTGAAATATCCCAAAAACAATCTATGTGAAGTATCCTTTTATTTTTTGGTACCACTAATAATCAGAACCAGCCTACGATACGAAAAATCAGCCGTTTTCCATCAGTGACATCGCATTTGTACCTCACAGACATCAGTATGCTATGGGATAGGGTTGCTTTAACTTCCTACAATAAAAAATGACCAGCGAATTGATTTTGAAAATCCATTTTTACAGCCCTGAATTAACTTTGGGTGCCTTTTTAAGTTCTATTACATATACTTTGCATTTCTTACAATGATATTTAACAAATCGGTTATTGGTATGTGTTTTTTAAAAGATCTATATGATTGCTTCGTGATGTGATATAAACTCTCGGACTGATGAATTAGAATATTGATTTTGATAATAGAACGATATAATGTGCGAAACACAACAATGCAATGTCCGTTGACGCTTGTTTGAAAAGTAACGGTTTTTTTTTGCCATGTGTGTTCTACTTTGATATAATCGAGCGTAATATTTCGTTTTCAGAGAAAAAAGCAGAGTAAGATACAAAATATCATATTAATCACCACAAATGACTCTTGCGTAAAAACGTGAAAAAAGAAACTCCGCTTTGTTTCATGAAAAAAAATGTGCATTGAAATGTAGGAATGTAAAAAAAAAATGGAGAAAAATTGAATTTGAGAATACGGAAGAAGAAAATAGCATCAGAGTTTTGGAAGAAGTTCACAATCAAAGCATTGTTTTATTGCTATCCTATTTAAACAACACAACAGATATCTCAAAAGCAAGAAATATAATTCATGCCTATGTATACTCTTAAGGTTAACAGGTGGGAAAAATACTAGGTATACAAAGCCATACTCTTTGTGAATTGTGATAAAACGAGTGATGTCCTAGGTTAAACTTAAAGGCATCCAATGCAGTTACAGAACGACAAAACAAACAAAAATATGGTGGATATGGAAATCTGTCTGATATTGACATTTGCCATTTCTGCATATTTTTATTGTTTCATGCAACCAATTGAAAAAGAACATATGGGCTCAAGTATTTTAGATGAGTACAATATAGGAAGAAATTTACAAACATTACTTCAAATGTAACTTTTGTATGCCTCAATAGATACTTAGATCCTTTGCTGTATATGTAAATGTCACAGGGGAGATTGGAATCCAGGGGAGTAGTGTATGTATTTACGTATACAAACCCTGTGGATTGCGTGATACTTTTTATTTGGCTTGAAACGCTTTCGCATGAAGTTTTAGTCTTACGGTTAGTTAGTAGCCTCCACCAGACCTTTCTATGGGAATACAGATCGTAGAATTCGGCAAAAAGAGACTAAAATTGGCCAAGGGAGTCCGGCCGCGGGGAGGTAGTTTCAAACCTACAAGGCGGCCAAACTCCCCTGGCAAATATTCTCCTATATATAGCCAGCGTAGTTAGTCTGGTAGAGACTAGTTAGTTAGACAAATACATCTTTCGTCACCATCTTTAGAGAGTGCGAAGAATAAAGCCATTTGAAAAGATTGATCAGCCACGACCTGGACATTACGAAAGAAAGTGCCGTAAAACTTGTCCAGGCGCACTGAATATTCGTCCTGGGTCACGACGTGTGCTAAACGGCACCCCAGCGACCAGACTCAATCAACGGGTCGCATGTCCGCTCCTAGCGGGGCAATCGTCACCTCGCCCCGTAACGAATCCGTCTATGTCTCGGTCTACCTAATAACGAGGTCTTGATCGATGGCCTTGCTAACTCCTCTCCGTTTGAAGAATAACGGAAAATGACCTGGACTGTGACTGACGAAAAGTTCGCGCCCTTTCGCTGACCGCTAGTTCAGACAATCTGTAGTAAACATAGCCGCGCATTCAGAATCACAGGATTCCGACAGTGTCTTTCCGAGAGAATTTTAAGCTGAGTTGTCATAATTGACTTTACGACAGTCAATTCCTATTTTCAAACAAACCTGTAATGAGAGGCATTTAACAGTTAAATTATGCCGCTACAATCTGATATAATAAGCAATAATTAGTTATCAAGTATGATGCATAGGGTGATTTCGTCAAATTACAACATTAGTTATATTAGGTATGTTTAAGTGTGTGTTCAATATTCTCTTACCCATGGTGCTACACACTTTACATGGCACGACATTTTGAGTTATTTCTTAACATTTATTGTTGGCTTAAAATTTGCAAACGCCTTTTTAATGATTACAGTATTTATGTTCTTTTTATGTAACACTTAACCCTTGTGTGCTTTACGTAAAGCTACAAAATGTCAGAGTGCGGTGTTGGTGCGTTATTCCGAATGATGCTGACATTAAAACAACACCACAAAAGTTGAACCGCAAAATGTCAGCGTTGTCGGAAAACCAACCGTAGCCGAAGAGAGCTGTCTTCGCTAGTGACACCTCGTAAAGTTGTGCAAAGAGCTATCATCAAACTCTGTCAGCGCAGTCACCGAAAGAAAATAGAGCTGGTAATAAAGAGGAAGTCATCATAGCTGATAAATTGTGCGGCGTCAACTGGCGCTCTTTAAATTTCTTCCCACAGAGGTTTATTTGGCGGGGATGGGGTGCTGATTAGCGCCCCCACCGGCTGCTTTGTGTACTGCACAAATTGTGATGCTTGCAAAACGAAGCATCTTTGATCTTTCCTCTTCAAATCTTTCTTTTATTCTTCCTTTTCCGTTGATAGTAACTTTTTAGAAGCCATCCTTAAGATTTTATGTACTCTTTCTTTATGCTTCCACTATACTAGTAAAATGGCTTAAATTTTGGGCTTTTATATATATATATATCATGTACATTTCTTGAGCCTCCCTTGTCGTAGATACTAAATGATGCAAAACCAATGCAAGTTTGTGTTAATCATTCAGTGAATCATTGAGCATTTTAAAGGCATCAAATGTAATTTCATGTAAAATTGAATCTTCGAAGTCAATTTCTTTTAATGCAGTAAGTTGAATCAGCCCTCTCTCATAGTATACTGATATCTGTGAGGCAAAAATACGATGCAATTGAAAACGGTTGCTTGTTTTGCATCGTAGGCTGGTAGTGTCAAAAGTAAAAGAGACCCCTCACGTTGCAAATGTTTTGGACTTAAAATGGCTTTGTTGAATTTTGGGTTTTTATAATACAAACAAACATACAACTATAGACTAAGCGAAAATCTCTGTACTTCGAAATTGTTTCCCTTCTCCCCGCTCTGACCAATGTGTCTGTGACATTGTCAGTTGAAAGATTCCCTCCGTATTCCCTTTCTTCATGCTTCCACAATACTAGTAAGATGGCTTAAATTTTGGGCTTTTGTATCATATTGTATCAAAGTAACAACCACAACGTTAGATTAAGCGAAAATCTATGCCCCTCGAAATTGTTTTCCTTAATACTCCGTGTGTACCCGCTCTGATCAATGTTTCTTTCATTCCTCCTTTCCGGTGATATTCTTTTTCTTTGTGCTTCCACGCAATGCTAGTAAAATGGCTTTGTTGAATTTTGGGCTTTTATAATAGTCATACGAACGTACAACTATAGATTAAGCGAAAATCTCTGCACCTCGAAATTGTTTTCCTTTCTCCCACTCTGATGAATGTTTCTTTCATTCCTCCTTTTCCGGTAATATTAACCATTCAGATTTTATATATTCTCTTTCGTAATGCTTCTACGCAATGCTAGTAAAATGACTTTGTTGAATTTTGGGCTTTTATAATAGTCATACGAACGTACAACTATTGATTAAGCGAAAATCTCTGTACCTCGAAATTGTTTTCCTTAATTCTCCTTGTGTACCCGCTCTGACCAATGTTTCT